ACCTGTGTAAATATTGTATAGTCTCCCTAGTGTAAGAACTCAAAAGAAGATATAAATAGAAAGGTATAACACAATATCTATTTTCTTATATTCTCTTTGATCTCCTTTCTTAGGGCACTGTAATTTTCACTGTACAGATCTTTTATATTCTTTGCTAGATTGACTCCTAAGTATTTCATTTTTAAAGATGCTATTGTAAAGGTTGTGCTTTCCTTAACTTCTGAGTTTGTTGCTTGTGTACAGGCATGCTGTTCATTTTGAGTGTTGGCTTTGTATCCCACTACACTAATAAATTTGGATATTAAATTTACAACTTTTTTTTTTTTTTTTTTTTTTTTGTGGGACCAGAGATTGAACTCAAGCTCTTGCACTTGCCAGGGAAGTGCTTATTCTACTGAGTCATCTCCCCAGCTCAAATTTACAAGTCTTTTGGTGGAGTGTCTCAGGTCTTTTATGTAGAGTATCATATCATCTGCAAATAATGATAATTTGACTTCTTCCTTTCCTATCTTTATTCCTTTTCTTCCTCTTGTCTAATTGCTCTAGCCAATGTTTCCAGAACTACATTAAATAGGAATGGTGATATTAGACATCCTTGTCTTGTTCCTAATTTTAGAGTGAAAGCTTTCAGTTTTTAACTATTTAATATGGTATTGGCTGTTGGTTTCTTATAGATGGCTTTTTTTTAATAGATGGCATATATATATATATATATATATATATATATATATATATATATATATATATATAATTTTTTTTCTTTGCTGGGGATTGAACTCAGGCCCTTGCGCTTGCCATAGAAGCACTTATTCTACTGAGCCATCTCCCCAGCCCAAGATGGCTTTTATAACATTGAAGTAAAGACTATTTCAAATTTCTCCTGGGCTTTTCTGAATGGGTGTTGACTTCATTAAATGCTTTTTCTGTATCTACAGAGATGATTTTTGTCTTTGGTTTTGTTAATAGGGTATAGTACAATTATTGATTTGCATATGTTGAACTATCCCTGCATTCCTGGGGTGAATCCTACTGGGTCATGGTGTATGATCTTATTGATGATTTGCTGCTGTTTGTATCTTATTTAGGATTTTTGCATTTATATTCATTAGGGAGATTGATCTGTACTTTCCTTTTTTTGTTTGAGCTCTCCTCTGGTTTTGGAATCAGGGTAATATTTGCCTCCAGGAATGATTTAAATGTACTGCTTTCCGTTTAATTTCCTGAAAGTTTCAGCACTAGCTATATTACTTGTCTAAATTTCTTGTAGAATTGAACAGTGAATCCATCAGTGCCTGGGCTTTACTTTGTTGGTAAAGTTTTTTTGTTGTTGTTGGGTTTTTTTGGGCAGAACCGGGGATTGAACTCAGGCCCTTGCGCTTGCCAGGGAAGCGCTTATTCCACTGAGCCATCTCCCTGGCCCCAGTAAAGTTTTAATTACACTTTCTTTCTTTTTTGGCAGAACCAGGGATTGAACTCAGACCCTTGCACTTGCCAGGCAATTAATTAATTTTCAATTTAATTTGTTATCAGGTTATTTAGAATTTTTGCATTTTCTTCATATATTTTTGGAAATTCAAGTGTGTCTAGGAATCTGTTCATTTCTTGTTTTTTCCATCTTAGTAGAATAGAGATTTTCATAGCAGGTATTGATGATCTCCTGGACTTCTCTGGGATTCATTATGATTTCCCTCCTTTCATTCCTAATTGATTTTTCCCCCTTTTTGATGCAGTTGGCTAATACTTTATCAAATTTATTTTTTCAAACAACCAACCTCCTAATTTTTAAAAAATTGAGCTTATTTTTGTCCTTATTTTGACAAAACATCATATTCATTTTCTTCTACAAAGATGATCTGTTCATTTAGTGCATATGTGGTACCTATTTTTAGGAAGTCTCACTGCATACTAGTTCCTATGATCAGACAGTAACCATTCCCAGAGGCTTTCTCTGCTTACTGTCTTTGCCAGGTATTTACCTTTTTTCTTTTTCTGCTGGAGTTTTTCATAAGCAACACATATAATATGGTTTCTTAAGATGATAATGATGCAGAAGAGAATGTTTTAAGATTCATTTATTTTAGTCTTTATTGCATTAATTTCTGCTCTTATCTCTATAATTTCCTTCCTTGTATGAGCTTTGGGTTTGATTTGTTCTTTTTCTAGAAGTTTGAGGCTCAACATTTTTCTTTGAGCTTGTTGTTTTCCTGATATGACTTCATTGCTATAAATTTCCCCTGTAGGACTGCTTTCAATGTACCCTGTAAATTTTCGTATGTTGTATCAGCATTATCATTTATTTGTATATATTGCTTAATTTCCTGTGACCCATTGGTTGCTGAGAATGATGCATAATTTCCATGTTTATCTAGTTTTTGTGATTTCCTTTGTTGTTGATTTCCCATTTTATTGTACCACAGACAGTATGCATGGGATGACTTCAATTCCTCTACATTTACTTAAACATGTTTTGTAGCTAATACGTGGTCTATTTTGGACAATGTCCTATGTGCAGCTGAGAATATATATTCTGATGTTTTGCCCTGGAACACCCTGTAGACATCAATCAAGTCCATTTGTTCACAGGTTTGGTTGAATTCTAATATGTCTTCGTTGATTTTTTTCATCTAATGGATCTATTTGTGAGAATGTCCCCCACTACAATTATATTAGCATTTACTTGGTTTTTCATGTGTTAATATTTGTTTTACGTAGTTGGGTGGTCCTGTGTTTAGCACATAACTACTTATTGCTATCTCTCTTCTTCCCTTAAACAGTGTAGTGACCTTGTCTATTTTGGTCATTTTGGGCTTAAAGTTTGCACTGTCTGCAAATAAAATAGCTACACCTGCTTTTTTCTGGATTCCTGTGGCATTGAGAATCATTTTCCATCCTTTGACTTTTAGTGTACTAACTTCTTTTTGGGTTAAATGTAGTTTTGTTTTGTAGTGGGGATCGAACCCAGGACCTTGCTCTTCCCAGGCAGGTGCTTATGCTGCTGATCTACCTCCCTGGCCTATGTTTGTTGAATGTAGCGTATTATTGGATCTTGCTTCTTGATCCTTTCTTTAATTTTTTTTTCTTTCTTTTCATGGATTGGTGAGTTTAGACCACTTATGTTGATGCTTGTAACTGATACATATTGACTTATCTTTTTCAAGTTGTTTTCCTGCTAAGAAAGTTCTTCATAAAGGCCCAAAATATAAATTTCTCAATTTTGTGGGTTACACTGCAACAACGTCACTGTAGCAAAAAAGCAGCCAGAAACATAAACTAAGCAATACAATATGATAAGAAAGTTTTAACTGCACTTGGCTGGATTTGCCAATCCCTGGCTTAACCCGGCAAAATACAAATTATCTTGAGAGCTGAACTACTCTGATATCTACTTAGAACAACAAAACATTAAGAGCCCAGGATCTGTAGATCTAACACAACTTGGGGTACCACAGCCTGACTGACATACTTAGCATGTAAATGTGCAATTCAGGAAATTATGGAAACCTATCTTTTCCATTGCATACATGCTTCACTAAAACCCTTAACAAAGTTTTAAGTATCACTGAGATTCCCAAAAAATAAATGGTCTTCAATCCCACTTAACAGTACGTTTCCATGACTAGACTCCACTGGAATCTTGCTGTCTTTTCCCCATGTACTTTTCATTCAAATCCTTATTATATTGTATTTCCAGAACTTACAGATATTCAGGGTTTGCTCTGCATCTCTGTAACATTTTCTACTGTTTTTTTTTTTCCTCACAGTCCAAGTCTCTTGGCCAGATAGCACTAGATTCACTAGTTCTACCAACCAAGTCCAGCACTTGATGTGCCACTGCCCTAGGCTATCGATTTAGCTAATGCAGAAACCTAACAAGAACTAGGAGGTATCAATTCATTGTACTGGAGTTATACTAAAACCATGTAGGCTGCATAAACCTATGTCTAAGATAATTTAAATGTATTAGTTAAAAATATATATTTTTATTCACCGATATATTTCAACTATACAATTTCTTTTATAACTGATTTCAAGTTCTACTAATTTTGGCTTATATGCACATGATCCCTTAACTATAAGAAATATTTTCAGTAGTTTTTCAAATTATACTCTGTACTTGTATTATTATTGTAAAAATTCAGTATTTCATGAGTTAAAGTAGAAACAATTCCTCCATTCTCCTTGCTACTGTTCACATAAAGGTGAATAACTGGATGCACTAACCACTAAGAGTTAAGGTATGTAATGACCCTAAACTACATTATTCTTTGTATTATAATTTCTTGATAACTTTAATGTGTTTATTTCTGCAGGAGTAGGTAAAATGTTGGATTCCTACTGAAGTATCAGGCAGTATCCATAAATGTGCAAGTTTTTACATGTTAACATTTTAAATTTAAAAATTTTCTTGAATACTTTATTTCCACATTCATAAAACACAGCATCACTAATGTGCTTGTTATTTATTTCTTCAAGTTTCCTAATCATAAGTTCCTACTCTATTAAAAGGGATAAACATTCTCTATCAGTGGTGAACACACAGCATGTGTGCCTCAAGGGGCTGTTTGTTATCACTGAAAACTCTAAATGGTTCACCGTGTTTTATATGCTGACCAACAGCTCTTCCAGGTGTCTTTTTTCCTACTTGCACTAATACGAGAATGTGAGTGGTTCATAAACCAATACTTTGTATGTTTGATAAAATTTGTCCAGTTCTAATGATTTTTGTCCTTTTTCCTTAAGGTAGGGAAGGTTGAATGTGGCAGAAAGAACTTGACTCAAAAAATCAACTGCAAATAGCTTCAGCTAAGGTTTTGGTAAAACCAGTGCTAAAGCTCTTGGAACACAATCATGTCTAGTCCTGGATGAAAATGTGGGAAAAAAATGATCAATTTTGAGTTGGGCATTGTGGCACACACACATAATCTCAGCATTGGGGACTCTGGGGTAGGAGGATCACTGCAAGTTCAAGACCAACCTGGGCCACACAGTGAGTACAAAAGTCACCCTAAATTACATAGTGAAATCCTATCTCAAAAAACAAACAAAAAACCAATTTAATATTTACTATAAAATGTTTGTCATTAGTAACTTTTTCTGACAAACTTCTACATTAATAGTACCGAAATATGACAGTGTAATAGGCAGACTTTTTTGTTTGTTTGAGACAGGGTCTTGCTATGTAGTTCAGATTGACCTCAAACTCCCAGCAATCCTCCTACCTCAGCTTCCCTAGTGCTGAGATTATAGGTGTGAGCCCCCATGTCCAGCTCGTTGTAGTGTCCTGTTATTATAATATTAGCAACATTCATTTTCAGTATATCCTGTCACAAGAGAAATCGAGGGTAAAATTAACAGAATACTAAAGTTCAACAAGAACTTTATGAGACAATTTGATAAGACTGGGGAGGACTAGTGCTAATCGAAGCAGGGCAATGCCATAATACTTAGCTGTCTGATTTAACTTCATTACTTTCAAGATTTCTATTCTAAATACCAACTCAAAGTACCATGGAGGAAATTTCAAAACAATTTTCAACCATCATACTTTCTCACTAATGTAACAATACTGTACACCTTTAAGCTACCTTGTAATACTGATTATGGAGATTTAGCAATTTCTGCCTTTATGGAATTAAAGTTTTAGTGAACACTACTGAGTATTATTTACTGTGGAGTTGTGAAATGTGGTTAAGTAATTTGTAATTTGTTGCCAGATTTGCCAGCAGGAAAGCTCTTCATGTGATCCCCTGTCTTCAACAGTCCTTAATTCACCTCATTTATTCTCTAAGGGCAAAAGTTCTTTTTGTTTATTCTCTAAGGGAAAGAGTTCTTTTTGCTGTATGCTTTGAGCCTCAGTGGCATGAATAACTACAGATAAGAAAGTGAAACAAGTTTTCTTCTGAAATGTGAAAAAACTCATGACAGGTCTTCAAAAAGTTTATAGAAATTTCTGTGTGAATTCTCTGTTCTTACCGTCATTTTTATAGGACTTATGACCAACATGAGTTCTGTGATGAATTGTAAGATTTGATCGCCAACTGAAGCTCTTACTACATAACTCACATGTGTAAGGTTTCTCCCCTGTGTGAACTCTCTGATGAGACTGTAGCTGTGAGGACCGACTGAAGACTTTACCACACACATCACATTTATATGGCTTCTCTCCAGTGTGGACACTCTGGTGAAGCTGAAGACTTGAAGCCTGACTGAAGTACTTACCACACTCCCCACACTTGTATGGTTTTTCTCCAGTGTGGACTCTCTGATGCATGTCAAGATTCAAGCTCCACTTGAAGCCCTTCCCACACTCCTCACATTTGTACGGCTTTTCCCCTGTATGGACTTTTTGATGGGCTTGAAGGTGTGAGCTCCGACCAAAGCTTTTCCCACATACTTCACATTTAAATGGTTTTTCTCCACTGTGGACTCTCTGATGGGCCAAAAGATTTGAGGCCTGTCTGAAGACTTTCCCACATTCCTCACAATTATATGGTTTCTCTCCTGTGTGAATCCTACAATGAATTTTAAGGTCTGCTCTCCGACTGAATCCCTTTCCACATTCTTCGCATTTATATGGCTTCTCTCCAGTATGAATTAGTTGGTGAATCTGAAGTCGTGAGCTCTGATTGAAGCCCTGCCCACACTCCTCACACTTAAAAGGTTTCTCTACACTGTGGGCTTTCTGATGGATTTGAAGATATGAACTCTGACTGAACCCCTTCCCACATATTCCACATTTATAGGGCTTCTCCCCTGTGTGGACGACTAGATGAACTTGATAATGGGAGTTCCTCCTGAAGCTCTTCCCACACTCTTCACATTTATATGGTTTCTCTCCAGTATGGACTCTCAGATGGGCTTGAAGATTTGAACTCAGAGTAAAGCCTTTACCACATACAGTACAGATGTATGATTTCTCTCCAGTGTGGACTCCTTGATGGGCTTGAAGACTTGAAGGCCGACTAAAGCCTTTACCACATTCCTCACACTTATAGGGTTTTTCTCCTGTGTGGACCCTCTGATGAATGTAAAGATTTGAGCTACAAATGAAACACTTCCCACATTCCTCACATTTGTATGGTTTCTCTCCTGTATGTACTCTCTGATGGGACTGAAGGTGTGAATTCCGACTAAAGCTCTTACCACATGCATTACACTTGAATGGCTTCTCTCCAGTATGGACTTTCTGATGGCCCTGAAGATGAGAGGCCTGACTGAAGGCCCTCCCACACACCTCACAACTATAAGGCTTCTCTCCTGTGTGGACTTTACAATGAACATTAAGGGCTGATCTATGACTGAAATCTTTCCCACACTGCTCACATTTGTATGGTTTCACTATTGTGTGACCTTTCTGACGGGTCTGTAGATTTGAGCTCTGACTTGATTCCTTACCACACTCAAGTTTTTCTCCCAGATCAGCCCTTTGATGAACACAAAGAACTGAGCTATCTTGGGAGCCTTTTCGACATTCAATACATATCTGACACTTCTTTCCAGGATGTAATTGCTGTTGAGGATCAAAGCTGGAGAGATCAGTGAAGGCTTCTGCACATCCCTTATACCAGTAAGGCTTTTGTCCTGGGTGAATCATCCTATGCTCATAAAGTGTTGAACTCTGTATGTTATCTTTCCCATAATCATTGGTGTGATAAGATTTTTCACTTCTGGGTATTCCATGATCTTCGTGATGATTTGAAATCCAGCTGATGTGGTCAACACCGTGTTTACATTGACACGGTTTATGTTTCATAGAAATTTGCTGATGTCTGTTCTGATAATTCTGTGATTCAGTCAAAGAAGTGTTCCCCCATGAATCCTGGGTTTTGAAAGTTGAAAATTCTGGATCTCCACTATCACTGAGAAGATCTGTTTCATGATTTTCTAGACAGTTCTCATCCTCAGAAATTTGAATACATAGTCCTAGCCCAACATGGCAAATAGGATCTCCTTGTGTGTAGAACTGAGTATTATTTATCATGGAGTTGTGAAATGTGGTTAAGTCAGTTGTAATTTGTTGCCAAATTTGCCAGCAGGAAAGCTCTTCATGGGATCCTCTGTCTTGAACAGTCTTTAATTCACTTTGTTTATTCTCTAAGGGCAAAGAATTTAGAGATAGACAAGTGAAAGTTTTATTCAAAGATTAATACTTAGGACATGGCAGGAGACATTAATGAACTTCAGGATGACTTAGGTTATCTTTTTTACCATATATGAAGTTGTCTTATACTCTGGTAGAAACCAAGAGGTTAAAAAAACAAAAACAAAAACAAACAAGAAGTGATCCAAGGGCCAGTCAGATAGGTCAGCAGACTAAAGCACCTGCTTTGGCAGAGCACAGCGGCCAGGGTTCAATTCCTGGCTTGCTGTGCCGGTCTCACTCCCGGGACGCACTGAGACGGCAATTCAGACTGGGCGTGGTGGTACACGCCTGTAATCCCAGCGCTTGGGAGGCTGAAAACAGAATCACTACGAGTCCGATCTACATAGTGAGACCCTGTGCATCCAGTCCTAAATTCATTTAAAAAAAGCGATCCAGTAAATTCCCATTATTATTAATGAAATCCATTTAAAAACACAATTACTGACATATTACCTAAATCTTTTAAAATTATTATTCCTTACAAAACAAAGTATCAGTAAAGATAAAAATTTTATGGGGCCCAGAGCTTCATAACCACTGCCCAGAACAGTGTCCAGCAGTTAGAAGGTACTCAATGCATGCATAGGTGAATTCCAGTTTGAGGTCTAGGATTCCTTAATACCATAAGCCTAAGTTTAAGTTTGAGCTAATTCATATGTAAAAGAGCTTTTTGAAGTAACACATTTGAAACAAAAACTAGAAAGTGCAACTTTGCTGAGAAAGCAAAAAGTTATATCTTCTTCCTGAGGCAGTGACACAACAAATAGGTCCATGCCTAGCAGAAAATTATGTGGGGAAAAGTAGCTGGGGTGAATCATGAAGACTGGTATACTGGATCCTCCTGAAGCCTTTTTTTTTTTTTTTTTTTTTTTAAATTTCAGTGCTGAGCACTGAATTTAAGATTCAAGGTCTCGTGCACGCTAGACAAGAGTTCTACCACAAGCTACATCAGCCTCTTTCAGAGGCCTTTCTATTGTCTCTTTTGCACCATTCTACTTCCCCAAGAATGAGTCCAAATTCAAAAACAATTGTGAGATAGGAAGAAAATGTTCAACTAGGAAGAGGAACTAGAGAGGAAGGGAGGGGGGAAAGGAAGGATAAAGGAAAACCAAAAAGGAGGAAAAAATGGAGACAGAGCTTTTGTAAATAGGGAGGGGAAGAGGGGTTGAAGGGAAGGTAGGGGGATGTGGGAGAAAAAAAGAACCAAGATATGTCACGCACAGGTACAAATTCCCCATGGTGAGTGTGATCATTATATATACCTCAAATGAACCAATAAAATTTTTATTTATTTGTGTGTGGGGGGGGGCAGCTCAGCCCACCAGGGGGCAGGGCTGGCTGGCATGTGGTACTGGGGGATTGAACTGTGGTCCCTGTGCTTTACTAAGCTTGTTCTAAGTAGGTGCTTTAGGCCACTGAGCCATCTCACCAGCCCCTCAAATGAACCAATAAACTCCTTTGTTTTTCCTTTTGGTTTTTTTGAGACAAGGTCTCACTATGTAGTGCAGGCTGGCCTCACACTCTCAGCAATCTTCTGCCTTAGTGTCCCATGTGCTAGGATTACAACTATGTGCCACCATGCCCAGCTTGTACCAATAAACTTCATTAATTAAAAGTAATTCAGACAAAAAGTTGCTATTTCTTTGACAGCATAAAATTTAAGCATATACTGCAAATTTACTTTGCCTTTAACAATCTATTTTTAAATAAGATTGTTTTCCAGATTAATAAAAGAAGTCTATTAGTGAACTACGAAATAGGCTTAAAACTCATAATATTTATAAAAAATAGATTAAAAGGAAAGACTCAACATAAGGAGTCATGGTGTCATTACATGAAATGCCTTTTGAAGTCTTATGCATCTGTATATATGTAGTTGGTTTGTAGAAGTAACAATGAAAGATCTGGGGCTGGGGAGATAGCTCAGCGGTCTAAGCACCTGCCTGACAGGCACAAGGATCCGGGCTTACTCCCTGGTACTACATGCCCTGTCAGCCGCAGGTGCTGAGCCGCCACTAAAACCAGGTGTGGTGGCACACGCCTATAATCCCAGCACTGGGGAGGCTGACACACGAGGATCACTACAAGTCTGATGTAGTGAGGCCCTATACCAAATAATAAATAAAAGATTTAAAAAAAAAAAAAGCAGCTTTAAAAAAAATGAAAGGGGGCTAGGGAGATGGCTCAGTAGAAAAAATGCTTTGCTGGCAAGCATAAGGGCCTGAGTTGAATCCCCAGTGCTGCAAAAAAAAAAAAAAAA